TCGGAAGCATGAAAATCAAGTTACGAAACCACTTGTCCTAACCTTTCAGTCTAGGGTCATCAACGTTTAAACCCCAAGGAAAAGCAAGGCTAGGGTTGCGTAATCTGACTTGTCTGGTTTGGTTGATGAGCTTACTCTAACATGTTGGATAAATGTAAGTAAGTTTAGAACAATCACCGAACAGACAAATTGAGTCGCCTTCTTTTTGAGGGCGGCCCAACACCTGTGACCAGCGGAGTTTAGACTTTTTATTTCGCTCCGCCTTTATTGATTGTGATTTTATCGCCAGGTTCCACACTCTAACTCATCATTTTGTAAATAGGACGCTTGAAATAGCTCCTGTCCTTGTAAACCCACAAAAGAACAGAGATCTAAGCAATTAACAGCTATTTATTCTCTCTAAAAGCTCAGGCCAAAAAATACTCAGTTGCTCTTCCCAAAATATGATCCGTGTCAAAAAGATTCTAGGATCTATGGAAAACGCTAATGAGTGAGAACTATTAAAGGTTTGTTGGCCAAATTATGAAACCGTAAATAAACTTAATATCTTAAGCATAATTATGTGCTTTTAAGCATGGACAGTGTCAATATCCAAAGCATATATGAAACCAACATTAGCATAAATGCTAGGCTAAGGCAGCAATAAAAATAATCGGGACTACATATTGAAGTTTCCGCCCTACCTAATAGATCGTTATTAAATACACAGACAATTATTCAGTTTATGTAAATCCATCTTATTTTATGAAAACCCAGTTATACTGAGTTGGCGTTAATATGTATCGAAAACACATTTAGCCCTCCCCCCCGCTAAAATGCCTCCGTCTGTTCATTGCACGAATCCTTCTCTTTTCGTGTGTGCGTTTGATAAATTTCGTGAAAAACACGAGTTAGTCCAATTGAAAAAATCATTTCAATATTTTTATTCTACGCCTTTATCAAAACCAAAATTTAATACATGTTTTTAAAAATTAGAAATCATCATATGGCGGATGTCGTTCTTATTTTCAAGAAGCTCAAAATTTTAGCGCATAGCTTGATATTATCAGTAAATTCAAGATACTTTGAAACATTTTTCAAAAATACCAACATTAGCATCAAACATATTCCTCTAGACGATTTGGATGGCGACGCAACCTCCATTATCATCGAATATATGTACACATCGGGTAAGCAATTAATTTTGCATACCATTATCAGAAATTAAGATGCATTATGATAATCTTTCTGAATTGCTGAAGGCATCACACTTTTTGGGCGTAGATTTTGTTTTCTCTTCATGTGTCGAATTTATGAAGCAATTAGTTGACAAATCCAATTGTCTTTTGTTTGCAATTCAAGCCAAAAAATATGGTGTAGTTGAACTGCGGAAGAAATGCTTCCAAATAATCTCAGAAAACTTTGGGTACGTTTTTTCCTTCTTTGAAGCCTATTTTTATCTTTTACTTATCGGTCTCTTATTTTTAATCATAGGCTGCTTAATTTAAAAATAAACCAGAATTATGTGCAAAATAAGAGGCGAAAAAAATTTGATGCTTTTAAAATTAATGAATACGTTTAATTCTATCATTATATTATGTACTAATTACTTTTATTACTTTACTTTCATGCTTACAGAGAGCTAATTACTAGCAAATTAATACATACGTTTTCATACGATGATCTTGGTGAATTGCTTAAGTCGGATGCCATCCGCAAACATGTGTCTGAGTTCCAGCTACTTTTACTCATATCTTCATGGCACGAAGAGCATATCAATTCAGCCAACTTGCCTCAACCTGCTAATGATCAAACCAACTCCGGTTCTGATTTTGACATTGGGCAAATAAATGCTAATTGCGCTAATCTAATCCGTAATTGCATTCGCTTTGATAAAATGAACAAAGCTATTATGTTTGGATTGGTTCACTCCGGTTACGGGAGAAATACTGGAGTTCGCCTAGATAAGCTGACAGAAGTTGCGCGTCGGGAGGCTTTGGCCTGTTTTGCTGCCTCACAGGTTGCAGTAAGTTGTAATTGTTTTGATCTAAAATTTTGTGGTGATTCATTGTTTATCTAATAATCAAAAAATTAATTGATTAACTTTTTAAATCAATTTTGCTATGTTATTTTGTATAAAAACGGAGTAAAACGTAATTTCCGATAGAATTTTTCGATTTATTATTTTCTCAACTTACACTGTTCTTGGTTGTAAAACATTCTGAATGTTACAGGCAATGGCTGTTGTGAATAGCTTTCGTATTTTAAGTATTGTTTCGAGACTACCAGTAAATCAGTAATATAAGATGTATTCACCCAATTTCGTTTAAGGT